GGGAGAGGGAGGAGGGGGAGGGGAGGAGGGAGGAGGAGGGAGGAGGAGGGAGAGGGAGGAGAGAGAGGAGGGAGGAGGGAGAGGGAGGAGGGAGGAGGAGGGACAGGAGCAGCGAGCCAGCACAGGGGACCTGTCGTACCACAGAAGCCTGGGTGAGGAAGCGCCCTGTGCCCATTCCCACGAGAGGGAGGGACTCCACAGCGGATTAAGTGCAGAGCCAGACCATGAGACCTGGGAGTGCCGAGGCCGCCATGGGCACAAGACAGCCGGACACAGCCATTGCCTGCGGGAGGACAGTAAGGGGAAGCTATGCTCTGAGCAGCATGTCACAGAATGTACCGCTAGAGTCCCTTAGAATTAGAATGAGACGCTGGGGAAGAATCAGCAGGAAGATCCAGCACAGCCCTCCCGGCTTCGGTACATTCCAGAACAGGTCGAGCCTGCAGTATGTCAGTCGTGTAAAGATGGTTCGGAAGGTGCATTTCCCAAAGAACCCTCGCATCCGCCGCGCCTGGAGCGCACCCAGATGAACACCATCCGTGTAAGACAGACTCAGCCCCACTTCTCAGATCCCGGCTCCCAGGCACCTCCCCACTGCTGCCACCTACCATCCTGGACCCTTGCACCCGTCCATGGAAAGGCAGAAGGGAGCTGGGCCAGCGGCTGTCCCCCAGGCCTGGCCCCTTGCCCTCACCTGAGACCATAGCATGTGGCCTGGCGTGGTGGGACGTTTACCTGAATCCTTCAACCCCTTCTGTGTCTGAGCAGCACGGCAAGAAAGGCTGTCCTGCAGCAGCCGGAACACGACCCAAGAGGAGCCCCGTGGCTGGCCAGGGTTCCCCAGGCCTGCCAGTGTGGCCAGAGGGAAGGGTGGCCCCTGACAGCGTGTGCCCTCTGTACAGAGAGCAGGGGCCGGGGCAGCCCCCACAGCTCTTCCAGGGGTGGCTCAGCCTGGGGTCTGAGTGCCAGTGACTCTCTAGTGTGCCTGTGCCCCATTCCCACAGGGACTCTGGTCCAGCCCCTGACCTCTGGCCTGACACTCTAAGCTCTTATAGCCCCCTACCTCCCTCCCTGTCCCGCTGCCTGCCCTACCTGTAGCCGCCGCCTCTCCTGGCTGGCCGCCCGCAAGCTGGACAGGTGCTCGGTCTCCAGCCTCCGGAGCGCCTCCTTCTGCAGGGCCCCTGCTGCCCGGGTGCTGCTCAGAGCACCTTCTGCCCGGTGCCGACCTGGGGAAGCAGATGGCAGGGGACTCCCAAGGCCTGCAGGCTGCCAGGGGATCACACTCCCAGGGCTGCCCCCCAGTTCACAGGCCGCAGACGAAGCTCGGAGGACCTGTGACTGGCTCCTCCGTAGAGTTCAGGTCCTGGGGATGGCCCTCATTTCCTCTCCTCCAGGCTCCGGGGTCCTCCCACCGCCATTGCCCCTCCCCGCCCCCACCAACATTCCTGTGGCTGACTCTCCCGGAGCCCAGGCTGCCCTCCTGGCCGACACTTCGGGGGGCAGTCAGTGTCATGCCTGTAAGGGCTGGGTGGGGACCCTTCTGAGGAGGCTAGAGGAGGCCGAGTCCAAGTGGGGGACCCATGTGTGGTTATCTGGGAAGAGGGCCAGGTAGTGGGCACAGCCAGGGCCCAGACCCGGGGTGGGAGTCACAGGAGAGGGGCTAGGCCTGACCTGCAGAGCCTCAGAGTCCCGGCACGGCCCCCGTGCTGGGGTTGCCTGCGTGAGGGAGCGGGCGCTGGCCAGGCCCAGGGCGGCTCGGGGGCCACCCGCCCCCCTGGGGCTGCTCTCAGACCGCTCCCAGGGGCCAGGGGAGGGAGCAGTGGGCAGCAGTCACCTTCCTCTGCCTCTGCCAGGGCCCTCTGCAGCTGCCCCAGGTGGCTCTGGGCTTGGGCAAGTTCGCTCTCCACCCTGTGCCGCCGGCTGCTCATGCTCTGCACCTGGACATGGGCCTCATCCTGGGCAGAGGAACTAAGGTCAGCAGGACAGCCTGGAGGGCAGAGGTGTCCACTAGCAGGCTGGGGTGTCAGGAGGGCAGCTGTAGTAGGGCAGGCAGTGGACAGTGTGGGCTGTGGGCTGCAGGGAAGGTCAGGCCTGGTGGTTGGATGAGCTGCCCTGCTGGCCTGGGAGGGCCCCAAGTGGCCGGAGGGAGGGCTGGGCAGAGTAGGAGCTGGCAGGGGCTGGACACAGCCCGTGGGCAGTGTGAAGGGAGCCAGGGCTGAGAGGAATGGGACCTGGCCCTGGTCTGGTGTCAGTGGGTAGTGGGCCTGAAGGACTGCTGGGGCCCAGTAGCCCTGGGACTGTCGTCGGCCTCTCCCACTTGTCAGCCACCAGGGTCCCGAGCCCACCCTGCCACCTGGCCAGTTGGGAAGGGGCAGACTGCAGGCTCTGCTGGAGTCCCGGGGCCAGGAGCACAACTGGACATCCACTGCATAGGTGTCCTCAGGGGAGGGGTCCTGCCGTGCCTGTCCCCGCCTCGGGGACAGTTCTTCAGGGATGGCATGGGATGGCGAGTGCCTGTCCCCAGGGGACATCACAGTGGGCCAACTCCAGGGGCTCTGTGGCCCACCCTGAGGGACAGTGTGGCCCGAGGCCATGTGAGGGTCAGGCCTGGAGGGCAGTGGGATCACAGAGGACCGTCTAGACACTCAGAGGCTCCCAGGGGGCAGGGGAGGGAGCAGTGGGTAGCAGTCACCTTGCTCTGCCTCGGCAGCTGCCCTGCCAGGTCTCAGTGGGTCTGAGGACAGACACACAGATGGAGAGTCATCTGGGTGAGTTGCTGTGTTCCCTGATCCCAGGGCCCCCAGGGGGTGTGCCCACATGGGTGGGGAGGACCCCAGTTGCCCCTCACCCGCTCCCGCTGGGCATCTTGAAGTTTCTGCATAAGGTCCCCCAGTGCGTCCTGCACAGAGGCCACATCAATGACCTCTGAGTCGCAGTCTCCAGGTGCAGGTGGGTGCCACCGGGGTGGTGAATGGGCCCTGGTGGGGGAGCTGGCTCTGTACCACTCAGGTGGAGCCTGGGAGCTGTTGGAACCTGCGTCGGTGACAGTGGAGAGGATGTGGGGAGGGTTGGTGACAGAAACGGGGCCCTCGCCTTCTTCCTGAAGCTCCTGCTGTGGGCGCTGGGGTGGGGCAGATGTGGGCACAGGCCCCTAATTGCTGGGCCTGGTCCAGCCCCCTCATGTGTGGGTTGTGTGAGGCCTAGGAAGGGGTGGGGTGCCCAGGTCACAGACAGAGCTGGACAGGAGGACACTGACCTTTCATGGGAGAACCAGGTCGTTCTGGGGAGGCGGAGGGGCTCCGACCCTGGAGCCCCAGGCCACGGCGAAGTGTGGAGCACAGCCCGTCCAGCTGGGCCTCCGCGTCCCGCCTGGCACCCTTGGCTTGGGCAAGCTCCTGCTCTACGTCAAGGACCCGGCCATGGGCACTGTCCAGGCGAGCCTGAAGACTGTCAGCCAGGGAGCGGGCCTGCCGCAGCCTCCTGGTGACGCGGTGCACCTCGGCCCGCAGGGCCTGCTCAGTCTCCTGGCTCTCGTGCAGGTGTCCTTCCAGCTGCTGTGCCCGGGCCTTCCCTGAGGCCTCTGTCTCCGCCAGCTGCTGCTGCAGGCCCAGCACCTGCAGGAGGGATGTGGGGGGACCAGGCAGGAGACCCAGGCCTCTCTGCCCCTGGGAGACCCTTCCCCAGGCCTCTGGGCCTCAACCCCCTCGCAGGTCACAGCTGGCAGGTGGGGTCACCTGAGCCAGGTGGCACCTGAAGATCACAGAGTGTCCCTCAGTTGAGAGTCCTGCTGGCAGCCACCTGACAGCCCCGAGCTGTGGGCAGGGGTCCCAGCACCCCTCCTGCTGGGGGCTCCTCGGCCCCTGCTGCAGACCCTTTAGGACCCACCATGCTGGTCGGGGCCCAGCCCTGGGCCAGCATCGGCACACACAGGTGCCCTCTCCACCTGCGTGGGTGAGTGAGGAGTGTGCAGGCGGCAGGGTGGGGAGGGACCAGACAGGCCTCTGAGTCCGAGGTGCAGGGTGGCAAGCAGGCCTGGTCTCATCCTGCTTCCTGGGTGGACACAATGACTCACAGATGGACTGAGGTCACCTGGTGGGTCACGTGGGCTGTGGTTCTTGGGGCCCAGGCTCAATGCGACTGTGGGTGGCACGCACAGCTTTCTGAACCAGGGGCCCTGTGTGGTCAGTGACCCTGGGGCTCTGGGAGGGTGGAGAGCCCTGGCTGTGTGCAGCCTCTGCTTCAGCACACAGAGCTGGCAGGTGGGCCTGGGGCAGGGTCTGTGTGCAGGTGTGGGGGGGTGTGTGCCTGGGCACAGCGTGAGCTCAGCACCTCCGGCTCCTGGCAGCCCTATTTCGAGCTCCCCTGCCTCCCCCTGCTCAGAACTCTGTCCTTCATCTGGGCCAAACACAGCCTTTTCTAGAACACAGCTCCTGGGGAAGTCCAGGGAGGTGTCTGTAACTGGGCCCTTCCTCAGATCCGTCTCCCCTGCCCCTGGCTGCACAGTCACCTAGCAGGTGGGCTGTGCACAGGCCACAGGTGCAGGTGGGAGTCAGCCTACAAGTGGGTCCTCTGGCCTCCTTCCCACCCCCATCGGGTGCCTCCCGCCTCTCTGCTCGGGCTCCTTCCTGGCCTCTCCTCAGACCTATCCAAGAAAAGCACAGGTCCTACCTCCTTCCGGGTCTGCTGGAGGGTGGCCTCGGCCTCTGTCACCTGCCTCTGTAGCCCCAGTGCCTCCTGCCGGCTCTGCTGCTGACGCTGGGCGTCCTGTGCACCCCGGGCCTGCAGCTCGCGCACCTCCTGGCTCTTCCTCCGATTCTCACCTTCCAGCATTCTCACCTGGGAGGGTGGCAGCGCTGGGGCGGGGGCAGGAGCCCCACAGTCTCCCCTCCCTGCCTCTGTCATGTGTCCTCCCTCTTGGCAGCTGACCGTATTCTGGGAGCCTCAGCCTAAGTCCAGCTCTGGGAGGGGCCTTGGTGCCCCCCGTGACCAGGTGCTGGGAACCGAGCTCAGCCACTCCGCTGACACACGCCTGCTAGTCCTCTCTGGGTGCAGAGCCACCAGTGGAGCTGGACAAGGAGGGCTGGGAGGGGCGCTGACCGGAGAGCTCAGCGGCACGGAAGGGTCTGAGCTGGGCGGGCATCACTAGAAGGTGGCTCTGGTCAGCGTGGCCCCGGGAAGAAGCCCCTCCCAGGATGGCTGAGGGAGCAGCCTGGGGGAGGGTGGGGACCCCTACCTGCCTGCGGCTCTCCTGCAGCTCCCGGCGGGTGTCCCCCCAGGCCTGCTCCAGCTCCTGCAGCCTGGCCCGCAGCACCCCGGCCTCCTGATGAGCAGCTGCCCAGGCCTCCTCCAGCCCCAGCAGCTTCTGCTCCTGCTCCTCCTGGGACCGCTTAAAACTGAGCCAGCACCAGAGGCTGGCTGGACACCCCAGGCCTGACCTCCTCAGGGGGCCTGTGGCTGCCTGGCGCCTCCCCAAGTAAGACCCGGACCCTAGTGCAGACCCTATGCACTGTTCCAAGACCCAGCCTCATCCAGATCCGAGCACCTGCTAGCATGGGCCTTGTCCAGTGTCCACTGTCCACCTCTTCAGCCTCTCTGGAGCCTGCCCTCACCACACCACTGGAGACCTCAAGTCTTGCGCCAACCTGCTATGCCTCAGAGGGGCCTTCCTGCAGCCCGGCCAGGCCCCATCTCCCACAGGCCAGGCTGGCCTGTCTAAGGGGCTGCGAGGCAACTCCTTGAAGGCAGGGACCATGTCCACCCCCCTTCCCTGCTGCTTGGGCTGGCCCTGGCAGGCCTCTCAGACGGGGTAGGGGTTGGCGCCTCTCCCCACCATCTGTCTGGCCCAGACCCCTCACTGCAGCCGGGGCTGAGCCACACCTGGCCTCCTCCTGCGCGGCCCTGCGGACGGCGGCCCGCAGCTCGGCGTTGGAGCCCTGCAGCACACTCTTCTCGAGGGCCTCGTCACGCAGCGCCCGGCGGGCCTCCAGGACCTCCCTGTGCAGACCCTCTCGGCTCTCCGCCCAGCCCCGTCGCTCCTGGCGCAGGCTGACCAGCTCCTCCTGGGCCACCTTCAGCTGTGCCCGCAGCCTCTCAGCCTGATGGAAGCGTGTGGCTCTGGTGGCTGGCCGAGGGCCCGTGGTCCAGGACAGCCGTGGGCCACACAGGTGAAACTGGTCTGGCAGGTGCTGGTGTCTACGCAGCCTGGGAACCTAGACACCAGCCCCACCCTCCACGGGGAGGACCTTTCTACCACTGCTGAGGCCAGGGGGCAGCTTAGGAGGGCCAGTCCCTAAGCCCAGTCCCCATCCTGGCCTGTCCCTGTCCTGGACTCCAGGACACTGACCACTGCTGGGCAGGGCCTGCCTGGGCGTAGTCTGCTCACACAACATTCAGCTGCTGCTGCCCGGTGGCCCTTCCTACTTGCTGCCTCTGCACCCACTCCTCCCCTGCAATGAGGGTCAGCGAGGGCCACTCCTGCCCTGCAGTGGGCAGCTGGGTCAGCAACCCAGTGGCTCAGCACTGGCCACTGCATGGTTATGGGCATGCCTACCGACTCCGGCCTCCTTGCTCTGCCTCCTCCATCCACGGGGAGGCAGTGGGGAGGGAGAAGGGCGCCTGGGCCCTCAGAATTTTCTGGCAGTTGGGAAGCCACTGGTGCTGGGCTGCCCAGCTGCTGGGACTGGAAGCTGTCCCCATTATAGGAGCCCTGCACAAAGCTCAGCCCACAGGAGCAGGGTCTCAGGCCTGGGAGCAGGAGGCACAGAAAGAAGGCCACTGTGGGTGGGCTCTGGGGCCAGCGGGAGCCGCGGCCCCCACCCCGCTCCTGGCCTTGTGCGTCCTGCCCACCTGAGCTGCCCCATGGTGCTGTGAGTCCTCGTTCCCTGCCAGGGTTGTCCAGGGCCCAGAGTATGACCCCATCACACTGGAACCAGGACACGTTCCCCCTGCACCAGTGGCCTCTTCACCCACAGGGTCCTCCAGGTAGGCCTGGAGGGGGAGTTACGTAACGGAGTTGGCCCCCAGGCTGCAGCATGGGAGTGGGAGGGTCAGCAGCCTGGACCACACAGGTTTCTCAAGGTACTGGGCTCCCCGGATGGAAGGGTCTGGGGAGGCCAACTGGGCAGGCTCAGAGCTGCAGCACTCAGGCTATGGGTGGTGGGAGCTTGCTGGGCCCAGCCTGGACCCCTGGCCTCCTGCCTCCCAGGCCTGAGCTATGGCCCTGACCAGCTGCCTCCGGGAAGGCTCCATCCTGGCTCTCGCGGGCCCCTGGGGAGGAGGCGGTGGAGGAAGTGGGCAGGGGCAAGCCGAGAGGGAAGCCACAAACACTCGGCGAGTGGCTGCTGTGCCCAAAGCAAACCCCTCTTTTCTGGCTGTTTTCACAGGACATTGTCCAGGCCCCTGGCCGCCTGGCCCGGAGTCTGCCTGCTGTTCTTGTTGTTCTGTTTTTGGGAAGGGCCCGAGCCTCCCCTCAGCTCCCCTCCTACCCCCACATGTGGGAGCAGCGACTGTGCCGAGCATTTTCCGCTGAGCTCAGCAGAAATCCGCCCAGGAGGTCAAGGACCAGGAAAAGGGCCCATCCATCATAAAAGAAGCTGTTTTCGTTTCCCAGGGCGGAGGGGATGAAAACAAGCAAAACAAACCCCCGCCCCCACCCTACCCACCCCCACCTCTACCCCCTGTGTCTGCCCACCCGCCTCCTAAGAGCAGCCGTCCCTTTTACGGGAACTTTACAGCCAAATCGCTTAATGTGATTATAATAATTATTTCTTTACTAGAAATTGTATAAACAGCCGCTTTTGAAACCTCCTGCAGGGGGGCAGCTGCAGAGGAGGCCGGGAGGGGAAGCGGGGGAGGGGCAGCTGTGGGCTGGCCTGGGGGCCAGTGTGCAGTGTGCATGCACAAGTGGGTGTGCAAACGTGTGGCCGAGTGAGAGTGTGCGTGCACCGTCCACAGGCATGATGGATGTGCTTGCATGTGCACACGTGTGTGCTTGCCAGTCATCTTTATGCTGCATGTGTGTTCGGTGGTGCCGGAGTGTGTTGGCATGTGTGAGTGCGTGAATGCATGTGAGAGCCTGGGTGTGCATGTGCACATGTTCCGTGTGCACTTATCACTTGGTGTGCGTGCTCTTAAGCAGCGTGGGATACGTACACACAACGGGTGGATGGTGCTGGCCCCATCTGTGTGTGGGGTGAGCCTCGGGCAGGGCCCGGAAGGTCCTCCAGCCTACAGGCTCTGGTTTCCATGGCAACCCTGGGCTCCCCTGGCGCCTGCTTCTCTGTGATTGTTCCTCTGAGCACCCCCTCAGTCCCCTGTCACCCCTACTGGGGTCCCCACTCTGTTTCTGGGGCCATCACTTCCCTTGTGGGGGTCCCCTTCCCCTTGTGAGGTCCCTACTCCTTTTGTGGGGTCTCCACTCCCTTTCTAGGGTCCTCTCTGACCACCCGGATCTGCCCTGAGCCTATGTCCACCTGGATCCACCAGAACAAGTGTGTCCCCAGCCTCCCCACTGCCCCATCTTGGAAAGCTCACCCTCCTTCCCGTGGTCACTGACCAGGCCTGACTTGGAAATTGGCTGGGAGGAGCCCCTTCTCTTTGGGGCCAGTGTGAATAGCCCGTCGTGGTAAATCATGCTGTCTTCCTCTCGGGGGCTCACGCGGGGCGTGCCTGGGGGTGCTGAGCCCCTCTCCCTGCTCGGCCCACAGCCCAGGGAGCCAGGAGGCCACCTGCCCCCCGCAGGTCCCTCTGGGCTTTGCTGGCCCCTTGTCCAGCGCTCAGCCACATGTCCCCTGCCCTGCCTCTTGCAGGCACCCCCAAGTCCTGTCAAATCTCCTCAGAAACCCGTCTCCATCTGCTGGCCTGCTGGGCCCCAGTTGGCCTCTCTGTGGCTCCTTCTGCCCCTGCCTGTCCCCACCCCATCATGATCACATGGGGACTGGGCCACTGGAGTCTCTGTGCCAACACCAGGACCCCGCCAGGCCCCTGACCATCCCTGAAAACCCCACGAGCCCCTTGTCTCCTCCTGCCCCTCCACACCCAGCCTCGTCCCATCCCAGTGCCACCAGGGCTGCCCTGCCGGGTCTTCCCACAGCCGAGAGGCTGAGTCCAGCCTCCCCGTGTCCACCCCCAGTCGCGGCTGCCTCCCAAGAGAGACCACAGGCCCTGCCCAGGGAGGTGCCCCTGGACTCCGGGCGTCTGCGCTGTGTGGAATGAGAGTGCTGGGCCGGGTGTGGCTCCACACCTGGACCCTGTGTCCTGGCCAGCCTCCCACGAGTTGGCCGTCCCTGGCTATCCTCCTGGGGCCCAGCCTCTCCTGTGGCCAGGACTCGGACGGTCACGCCCACCCTCCCCACGCCAAATTCATCCTTGTAGGTTTGGAATCTTGGCCAGCTTTCCCTCCCCAAGGGCAGCTCTGAGCGCCAGCGCAGCCCCGCCCACTCGGCTCCTCCTGCTGCCCTCACCTCTCTCTGGGCACTGCTCCTCCCGGCTGCCATCTCCCGGAGACTCTGGCTCAGAGCTGCGGCCTGTGTCTGGTGGGAGGAGATGGCCTCCTCAAACTGGGCCTGAAGGGCCTGTAGCTCCTCTGTCCTGGTGCTGAGGGTGGCCTGGGGAAGCAGGGACACACCACACGTCAGGGAGGCCAGTCTGAGGTAGGTGTCCCATGGGGTGCAGCTGGGGGTGCCAGTCAGGCATGCTGACTGCCCAGCATGTTGGTGAAGGGCAGAGGTGCTGGCCCAGAGGGGGGCTCCGGGAGGGAGCTGAGGCTCCAACCTGTCTCCCACCTCTGTTTCCCCTCTGGGGCTCCCAAGCCACCAGACCACGGCAGGGGACGCTGGGCCTAGGACCCCAGAGCCGACGGCTGGCCTGCCTACCATATCCCTGCTGGGCTCCTTGGCTCAGGGGGAGGATCAGGAATGGTCGTCTGCCATGTGGACAGGCCCTGCCCTCAGTGATGCTGGGCAGTCAGCTGGGGTCACCTCTGCCTGGCAGGGCCTGCTGGCCACACAGGCCCAGGATGTAGAGGAGCCCCCTGGGGCCTGAGGCCTGCAGCATTCACTGAGGTCACCCAGGAGAGGCGGGCTCACCCTGAGGCAGTGCCCATTTCCCCTCCCCGGGGGACCCAGGCCCATCTGCATGGGCTGAGGAGGCCAGAACGTCGTTAGAGATGCTCTTCCCGGGAAGGGGGTGCCGCTCTGCTGCCCCTCCTCCCTGGACTGTCCAATGGCAGGTGGAGGGGACACCCACTGTCTCTGCCAGCTGCCAGTGTGAAGCACTCAGCCTTGCCTGCCCTTGGATGCCACCCTGCCTAGGCAGCTCTGGCACCATTTGGGACCCAGCGTAGCCCAAACTGTCCTCCTGTCCCACACCTGCTCTCCTGTCCAGTGAGGACGCTCCCCACCTACCCTGGGCCACAGTGTCCTCACGGGGGGGTTCTTCCCCAGGCCACAGTATCTGTGGCCTACTAGCAGCAGCTGGGCAGAGGAGGGCAGCTGAGGGGACACGGGGTGCCAGGGAGGCACAGGGGCCATGTGGGTGCCCCCCGTCCTGCAGGCCGCTGCCTGGGGCACTGCTGTGGGCTTCCACCGGCTCTGGCAGCAGCACAGCAGGCTCTTCTACCCCCGCTGCCTCCTGGACGGACTCATCGCCTTGGACAGCTGGACATGGGCTTCGTGCCCTGGCCCGGCCCCAGAACTGCTTGTTCAGTGAGGCTGGAGGACACCTTGGGACCTTGGGGACAGGTTCTGGCCGAGAGCCCTGAGGTGGCCATGACAGGCCGCAGGCCCCTGTGCCCTGGTGGCTCCTGACCATGTCACCCCAGCTGTTCCTTGGCTGCGTTTCCACTCCCACTCCTCTCAGAGGGTTTGATTCCTGATTTTGGAGCTGAGGTGGTAAAAGAGCCCCGAGGAGCTCCCCGAGGAGCTCACTGGCCGGCAGGTCCATCCTGGGTCCAGGGGAGACCCAGCCACACAAATGCTCCAGGAGCCAGCTCCCGGAGGCTCCCCTGAGAGCAGCGGGCGTCCCTCCCTGTCCCAGGCGCTTTCTTGGTTCCCTGCCCACAGGGGGGCTGAGAGAGTAGCTGGGAAGGGCACAGCCCCATCCTCCAGCCCGGGGACCCTCTCAGCCTGCCTCAGGAAAGGGACCCGGCCGAGGTGGCGGCTGGGAGCACGAAGTCTGGGGCCAGGCTTTCCTGGGTCCAGGCTGCCTTGGACTGCCCTGCCCAGAGTGACATGGGGTCTGGTCTGGGTGTCAGGGGAGGGCCAGGCAGCCCCTGGGCCCCCTCCTACCTGGAACACGATTCCTGCGGCACAGCGTCCCCTGGTCAGCCAGGAGTCCCCATCCCCACGTCAGAACCAGCGAGCGCCCTCCCCCAGGCCTGCCACTCATCACACCTGCTCCCACCCCACCTCACCCTCCCAGGCAGGCAGCACAGGTGGGTGGCCTCGGGGGCAGTGTGGTGGCCGGGACCCCAGTGGGTGAGCCTCTGCAGCCCCTGGGTCCCAGCTGGGCCTCCCAGCGCACAGCAAGGCCAGGCTGGTTGGTGTGGCTGCAGACGGCCACAGGCCTGGGGGCAGCCCTCCCCCTCCTCCCTGGCCAGGCCTCCCCTCTGGGCCCCCGCTGGTTCTGAGGGCTGGGAGCACTGGGCAAGTGGGGTCCGAGCACCCGGACCTGCCCAGGCAGGGACTAGAGCACAGCCTGGGCTTCCTGCCACCAGACTCTCTCCTCCCTGGCGCAGGAAGCCCTGGGCAGCGGCCATGCTCCTGGGACAGGAGGAAAGGTGAGCTGGTGTCTGCCGCAGGTTGGGCCGTGCATGGCCAGGCCAGGGGCTGGTTGCTGGCTCCGGGTGGTGGGCTCACCTCGGCTCGTGCCTGCTGCCCCCGGGCCTCCTGCTGCGCGCGCTCCAGGTCCCGCGTGGCCCTGGACAGCTTCTCCTTCAGCAGGCTGCTCTCTGCTTCCTTTAGAGACAGGGCCTGGACACAGGGTGCTCATGAGAGGGCTGCAGAGCTGGGGCTGGGCTTCCTCACAGGACAGGCCAGAGAGCGGCGAGGACCAGAGACCCTGCCTCCACCCCTGCTGCCGAGGAGGGCGGCCTGGGCCTGGGCCTGGGCCCTGCGCCCGGAGTTTCCCTCTGCCCCAGGCCCTCCTGCCTGGCACTGCCCTCAGACAGTCCTCTTGGGTGCCCCTGTCCTTATCTGCCTAGGTCCTGCTCTCTCCCAGTGCAGACCAGAACTCCATGACCCCGAATCCCTGCAGACTGTGGTCCCACAGTGCACACAAAGGAGCCTCCAATGGCCCTGGAGCACCCCAGATGCCCATCTCACTGACGGTGAGAGGAGGGTAGGCAGCTGGACCCAGAGAGGCCAAGTTTGTCCCCATGCCAGGGGGACGGGCTGCTCCACCAGCAACCCGTGGACAGTGCAAGGAATCGGCCATGCCCGTCAACACCACAAGCGCTGACTCCCTCCCTGCCCAAGGCCACTGGGGAAGGGAGTCCTAGAGACGCCGTCCATGTGCAGGACATCCAGCTCAGCTCTCTTCTGTCACTGTTTATGACACGGAAAGCAACGAGCAGGAGGTGACCTCGGTGTGAGCCACAAGAGGCCCGTGCCTGGTGGCCTCGCGCCCAAGAGAACATCACAGCAGTGGAGAAGCCTCACGAAGCCCCGACTGCGGTGCAGAGGCCCCGGGACCCGGGATCAGGAGGCCCCGAGAGCAGGTGGGCTCCATACCTCCGCAGTAGAGGTGCCGGAGGGAACGTGGGGCTGAGCCCCCCGTCCAGTAGAAACCGTCCAAGAAACCATCCGTGGAGTTGGCACTGGGGTCTCTCCCCAGGCCAGTGCTGTGTGGCCCAGTCCTCCGACTTGAGCCCCACTGTTAGGTGAGGGTGGGTTTGGCAGGATGTGCCCCAGGCTCGTTGAGGAGTGCCCGCGGGGTTGCGTGAGCAGCCTCAGGGAGGGGGTGCTTCCTAAACCCTCTCCTGGTCTCCCCCGGAGTCCCCGGCAGGAGCCTCTTCATCTGGGAAATGGCCATGTCGTCACTGTCACTCATGCTGGCCCCGGGAGCACATCTGAGACTGTGCCAACGAGCTGCCACGTGGTGGCCTTCTGCCCAGTTTCAGGTGGTTAGAGGGAGACTTGGAGCCCTGGTGTCAGCTCCTGGTCTCTAGGAGGAGGACGGGACACCGACTTTAACCGGGTGGACAATCATTCTATTGATGGTGAAACCCTGGATGGACGCTGAGTGGCCTCCAGGATGGTGACAGCAGAGACTCCAGGGCTGCAGGCCCGGCCTGCCTGGACCCCAGCGTCTCTTGTCTCCCCGCGCAGCCTTCTCGAGACTCGCGGGGTCAGGCCACGCTTTCTGGGGTCCCAGGCGGTGGTCTCTGGGTCCTGGCTCGAGGGGCTGGTGGGAACCCCACACTGGCAGTTGCTGGCACAGGTCCAGGTGGCCTTGAGATGGCGACATCTGAGATGAGGCAGTGGCATGGGGACTGGGCCCCTAAATTGTGGGGTCTGAGCTGGCCCAGCACTGCAGGGGACACCAGGAAACAAGTCCCGAGGAGCCGGCAGTGTGGCAGGGACGGCCTCGTGTCTGGGATGATTTTGGAAATGAAGGCACCCTGCTTGGCCTTCTCCCTCCCTGGAGCCCTCGTTTATTCCAGTCAGGGCCAGGGCTCTTCTGTCCCTCTTGAGACCTTCATTAGTGGACACAGTAAGAAGGTGCCCGGTGAAAGTCTTAAAAGGATCTGTTTACGGGCCAAACAGAACGGAGCAAGCCCCGCTCAGTCCATGCAGCCAGGAGAGTGGGGAACGGAGGGGAAGCGTCCCTGTGCTGCTGCCCCGCTGCATGCGTCTCTGACTCTGGTCCACCTGGAGCCCCCTCAGGGGCTGGTGACCTGCCCCCTCCTGCTCTCCCTGCTCAGCTGTCTCCGTATGGGTGGCCGCATATGTAGGGCAGCTCCCAGGTGCATGTGATTTGGGCAGTGCTGCCTGGTGGGTGGTGTCGGAGGAGTGAGGCCGCACAGGGCCTGGGTCACTTGGCCTCTCTGGACCTCTTTCCTCCCATGGCACAGGTAACACCACTGCATCCCCAGGGCCTCTGGACCTGCCCTTCTTTGGCTAGCCCTGCCCAGCCCTGGCCTCTCCCATCTTCCCTGCTCTCAGTCTCTCTTCCCCACCCCATCACGACACCCCTACTCAGAACGGCCACTGCTCCCCATCACCCACACCTGCTGTGAGACACCCTTGGTGACACCCCTGTATCCCCACTGGCTTCCGGGCCTGCCACAGCCTGGTGGCTGTGACCCTCCTTGACCTCCCCAGGCTCCCGTTCCTCCTCCCAGGCCACCGCAGGATGCAGGGTGGTGGCTGCTAGGAGCAGGGACGGCCGCACCCACCAGGCGAGTTGCCAGCCCCCGCCAAGGGATTCCAGTAAAGTGGGCTCAAAAGAGTGCGTCCCCTAGCACAGAGCATCAAACTAGAAAGGCAGTGGGACAATAAGACTGGATGTTTCAGTCACCAACCCCCAGCTGTACTGCGGGCCAGCAGCTGGTCCTCGTCAGGTGGTGGCAGCCCACGGGGTTGTCTACCTGTCTTCCCATATCCTCTCCACAGCGAACACTTCAGGGTGGCCTGTGCCCTGGAGAAGCCTGCACTCACCCCTCAGACCCAATGAGGTCTCAGCCTCTGGGGGACGGATGGCCAGTGAGTGGTGATGGTTGTCTACCTGCACTGGGGGTCAGACTGAATACCCTGATGCACAACTGGACGACTGGCTGAGCAGATGGATGGGTAGGTGGTTGGGTGGGTGGGTGGATGTGTTGATGGATGGGTGGGTGGGTAGATGGGTGGATGGGTGGATGATGTGTTGATGGGTGGATGGGTGGATGGGTGGATGGATGTGTTGATGGGTGGGTAGGTAGGTGGGTGGGTAGATGGGTGGGTGGATGATGTGTTGATGGGTGGGTGGATGGATGTGTTGATGGGTGGGTGGGTGGGTGGGTGGATGTGTTGATGGGTGGGTGGGTGGATGTGTGGATGGCTGGGTAGGAGGGTGCTGTGGAGTACTGAAGCTGCTCCAGGGGTAACCTGGAAACGCTGCACATGCCTGATGGTGGTGGCCCCAATACAGCCTTGTGCTGGGCTGGAGAGGGGAATATGGGGCGGTGGGCCCTTGCCTCCTGTGCCCCCGTTACCTTCTGCATCTGGCGGAGGCTCTCCTGCTGCTCCTGCTCCAGGGTCTGCACTTCCTGCTCCAGGGTCTGCACTTCCTGCTCCAGGGTCTCCCTGGTGGCCGCACTCGTTGCCAGTAGCTCCCTCTCCTGCTGCAGCCTGTGAACAGCCAACTTCTTCTCCTCTGCCAGGGAGAGAACGAGGGCCTCCTATGGAGACAAAGACAGGTGGCCAGGTCAGGCCAGGAGACCAGCAGGCACTGTGGTGCTGTGTGAGGCCCAAGGCCCTGCATACCAGGGCTGGACAACCTGGCCAGCTGCCCTCCCTTGTCTCCAAGACCCCACAGGAGCTGGGAAGACTCTTCAGGTCTCAGCGCCACTGTCACACATTCTTCCAGCAGTTCCTGCGCCTCACCTGAACCCCTACCCAGTGCCACTGATGGACACAGGCATAAAGTCCTGTCAAACACAGCCTCTGGGCCCGCGGACGGCTCAGGTGGAACAAGGCTTCCTCCAGCTCCCGGCTGACTGGTGGGCCCAGCCCCTTCTGCAGAGGGAGCCGCCTCTGCACACCCACCTGCTCCAGCCAGGGGCTCGCTGGGCGGGCTGGTGCCACTGCTTGAACGTGATGGTGAGCCACCCGGGTTCCACCCCAGGGAGCATGTGACAGACACCCAGGAGGTGGACAGTCCCAAGGTCCCCTGGGAGGCAGACCTTCTCCCTCTGGAGCCGTGCCAGGTCCTCTTGGTGGGCCAGTGCCTGTCTCTCCAGGGCCAGCTGCAGGTCCTGCTCCTGCTGCGTCACCCGCCACTGCAGCCGCCCTACCTCCCGTTGCAGCTTTGCCTCCTGGACCGTCCAGTCCCTGTTCAGTCTGTCCATTTCCACTGCAAAGCCACAGGTGTGTCAGGCCCACCTGGTGCAGAGCCCATGAAGACGCCCCTGCTCCTCCTGTGGCCAGCACATGGCCGGGTGGCCAAGCAGAGGCTCGGTCACAGGGAGTGGGCCGGAGGCTACACCCAGTTCTGAGCCTCAGGCTACTCCAGTGCAGGCCAGACGGGCTGGTGGCCTCCTCCGTGTGGCCCCTAAGTTACAAGAGCTCCCGGCCCCATTTGTGCCCCCTGGGCCGGGGGTGTGTGGGCAGTACACCTGGGGATGGGTGTGTGCTCCGTGGGGGAGGGCGAGGGGAGCCACCCTGGAGCACCTTGTAAGGCCTGCTGCTCCAGCCGGGCACTCTGGGCCTCTCCCTCCAGCTGTTCCTGCTGGACCTGCAGCTGCTTGGCCCGTTGCTGGGCTTCAAAGAGGCTGCTCTCCAGAGAGTCCCTCTCCAGCCTGCAGAGAAGCATCAGGCGCATCACCCAGGAGCTCCTGCCAATGAGGAGTGGCTCTGAGCCAAGGCCAGGCCAGCAGATCAGAAGACCAACAGGGCTCCTTCATTTCAAGTTTCTAAGAATGAATTGGACCCTAACAAAACTGTTTCAGGTGGAATAAAAAGTCAAATGCAGAGACAAAGGACATTTACTAAGTCACAGCAGAACAACTCAGAACCAAAAAAATGGTAGAAAAACCTCAAGGGTACTTTGTATTCTTCTTAAGCAAGACCTGAAAACCAGAAGGGAAAGAAAGTCCAGCAGCTCTGAAGAGAGGGACAGGGAGTATTCCTGCAGAAAAGAGTTCATAAATCAACTTAAAAGACGAGGAACAGATTGGAAGGAAATCTGCACTAAATGTATAAAGGATTAGCATCCATCACATGCAAAGAACTCCTACCAATCAACGAAAATCTGCTGGTCCTATTTAAAAAATGAGAAAAAATGACTGTTAAACACAAAGAAAATACAAATGGCTAAAAATATGAAACTTGCTAGACCTCATAAATGCCAGGGAATTTGAACCACAGTCGGTGTTATTGATCACTTATCAGATTAGCAGAAGCTCAACAGTGACAGCACTGCGCGTCGGCAAGGCCGGGGGCTCTGACGCGCGTCACGTGGGCGGCAGTTCCACCCACAGGTGCCCGTTTTACAGAAACACGGACGTGCTGACCACACACATGACCGTGCTCACTGGGGCTTTCCCGGGGTCCTCACTGGGGAAACGGGAGGGTCTTAGAAGTCACATGTCGACTCTGCCCACGGTGCAGCCGTCAACAAGGGCAAGAAGACAAGTTTCTATTCTCTCCTGGCAAAGAGTCACCCCCAGCAACCCGCCACACTGGAACTTCACACGCAGTGTGATGGCGTGTGCTCGGCCTATGCACACAGATTGCACGGATGCACATGCTCAGAACACGAGAAAGCCTGAGTTACTGGCATTTCATCAGTGACCAACCCGCCCCCCCACATGCCATGTGCATTTATGGTGAAAACACAACCCAACAACACACACCAACACAAACGCTCAAAGCACACAATCCGGAAGTGCCCAGAACCCCTCAGCTGGTGCACACAGGCAAAGCTCTCTTCCCGTCCGTCCGCCTCAACCTGCCTCCTCCGTGACTTGCACCTGGCTTCTACCAGAGGTGTGGCCTGGGAGTCCGCCCCTGCGAGTCCGGCCCAAGAGCACCTCCTCCGTAGCTGGGCCCCAGGAGCAGAGGCCCCACATGCCGCAGGGCGGAGTGGCCAGGGCCAGCGGCCTGGGGAGCAGGTGGGAACCTGTCCATTCCCCTTTGTACAGCAGACCTGTGCGTCTGCGGGGTCCTCAGAGCCAGGGGCTGCCGCAGGATGCCTGCACCCGCCATCAGGATTATCTGAAGCTCACCAGCACGCAGCCCAGAGCCAGCAGAGAAGCGGAGAGAGGGGGACAGATGTGCTCTGGTTGAGTCCCCACTGGGCTAGTGGCTTTCTGGGCTGGGGGGCTGCTGTGTGCAGTGGCCCTGGGTTCAGCGGTCAGGGCTGAGCGCAGGGGCCATGGGACAAGATCCTGGCCATGGAGGGCTCTAACCAGGGTTGTGTTTGGGGAACAGACATTCCCAGGGCCAAGGAGCCAGCAAGGGCAGGCCTCGGGCCTGTGCTCCCGCTGGCTCTGGGCGGCCTTCCCAGGTGTCTGCTCTGGTGGCATTTGCAGGAGAGGTTTTTCCACGAAGAGGTTTGAGGACCTGAGACTAAGGTTTCTCACACCTCCCAGATTCTGGACCCCAGGAGGAGATCTTCTAGACACTTAGGTGTTCCCAAGAAGAGCTCAGTGGTGGGGAAAGCCCGGCCAGCCCTGGGTCTTTGCAGAGGCCTTGGAACCAGTTCAGGCCACGGGCAACACTCTATGGCACCACCGATCCTGCCCACAAGTGCCCATTTCAACTTCTGGACATTTCTCTTGACTTTGGTCTTTGGGGCTCCCCCCGACTCTTAGCCTTGTGCCTCCTGGGGTGCAGGATGGGCTTTAGACCCAAGCCTGTACTCTGAGCCCTGTGGCTCCAGCTCCCAGGCTGCTGCAGGGATGCCCAGAGGTTCAAGATGGCTGGCGGCAGCACCTCAGGGACTTGTGGGGAGAAAGGTTTTTTGTCTGCCGGAGGAAGGCCCTGGTGATTGCTGACCTTCTTTTGCCCTCTCCAGGTGAGCCCACCTAGCACTGAGGGAGGAAGGAGCAGGGTCCTGAGGACTGTGGGAATGCCTGGAGCAGCCTTGTCTGAAGCTAGGTTCACTCGGAACTTCTCAGACCTGTGAGCAAGACATTCCACACCTTCCTGCCATTGGTCTGAGCCAGGTTTCTGCTACTTGACACCTGTCTTCGGGAAGGTGACCCCAGGACTATTCCTGGGTGTGCCTTGTATAGAGACGCTGTGTGTCACCCCAAGGCACTCTTTCCCTTCCTCAAAGCCTACCCTCCACACACACAGCAGACCTCCCTGTGCCTCCCACCACTGCCCACCACCCTGCAGGTCTCCAGGGTCAGGGCCATGGAGACACGCTCTGACTGGCAGGCTCACGGGTACCTGAGGTCAGATGCTTCCTCAGCTGACAGCTGCCCCTGCCTCTCCAGGGCCTCCTGCTTGGCCAGCAGCTGGACTCGCTCCTCAGTCAGAGCAGCCTTCGCCTTCAGGGCTTGCTGCAGAGTGTCCATCTGGGTGTCCTGGTCCTGCAGGCTTTGTGCTAGCTGCTTCTCCAGGGCCTCTTTTCTGCATGTGACCTGGGGGAGGGGGACAGTGCAGCAGAGAAAGAGAGTAAGTGGGTAGGTACGGGGGCTGCTGAGGGAAATGAAGGGCGTTGGAAGAAGAGACTTTCTTCAGACTGGCCCAGAGGCGAAAGTGGAGGTAGTGGGTAGACGTGGACGTGTTGAACCTCAGAGTGCACACGCACCTTTTAGAATAGAGGGGTGCTCAACTCCCCGAACCACAGCAGAGATGCTGTTAAACTGGGCTCTTCCAGTGAGGACCCAGCTGCCAAACTTCATTGGGCCACTAGTTTCTAGGGGGCAGGACACATGGTGTGGACGTGTCAGTAGCAGTAACAGAGGAAGAGTGGTGCCGGCCAGTGGTTCCACAAGGGAATCAAGAGGTTAAGACAAAGTGTGTCCCAGGAGAGAGCAGGGTTCAAAGGAGCCAAGCTCCTGAAGAGAAGGGAAACAGGAATGAGCCCACCATGTGCCATCTCTTCTCTATTCAAACCATTTGCTGATTTAAAGTCCAGGCTGAGAAACTGACATGCCAGGGAACCAAACTCACGTCATCTCAACAGACTCAAAGAAAGCATTTAGCAGAATTTAGAACTCCTATTGATTTTTAAAAATCTCAGCCTACAGGAATGAAAAGAATATTCCCATCCAGCACAGGCCAGGTTTCAAGTCTTATTCACAGAAGAGCTTGACTCCAGTACTAGTGGTGAGTCAGGACTGGACTACCCTTCAAAACAACCTGTGTGCCTCCGTCACTGATTGGATGATAGTGTTCATTTCCTACTTTCATTGCCTCTCAGAACCAAAGATAAAGCCCTCAAAGAATGGCATTGTCAATAACGTCAAATTGTTTATAAAACTTTGTATTCATGATATCTGGCATTTAATCAACATGACCAGGCATACTAGGAGACAGGACCACATGACAAATACAGCAACACACATAAAAACAGAAAATAGACTAGACACTCCCTCACCCCCACCAGCTCTCCAGATATCAGAGTTGTCAGACATAGAATTTAAAATAGCTGACTAGTATGTTCAAAAACCAGATTGTAGGATGTAGAACTGGATACTAAGTATGAAAAGTATGATTGTAAGATACCATGGCCAACATTAATAAATAATAGGTGAGTTCAATGGCAGATTAGACAAGGTAGAAGAAACAATGAATTATCAGGAAGATAGGCCAAAGAATACTCTGAGTGAACCATGAAGAGAAAAAGGATAGAAAACACTATGATAGAAGACCAGGAGAAAGGCCCACCATGTGTGTAATTGGTCAGATTCCAATTCCTTTTTTTCCCCCAGATACCAGTTCTGACAAAGACATTACAAGAAAAGAAAATACAGACTAATATTCTCCATGAAGGTACAAGCAAAAATTCTTAGCAAAACATAAATTGAATCTAAAAATATATAAAATGAATATTAACTCATGACCCATTAGCATTATCTCACATATGCAATGTAGGTTTAGAATTCAAAATAGTAATGAATATAATTTATCCAATTAACAAAATAAGGACAGCAATGATGTCATCTCAACAGACTCAAAGAAAGCATTTAGGAGAATTTAGAACTCCTATTGATTTTTAAAAATCTCAGCCTACAGGAATGAAAGGGAATATTTCCAATCTGATAAAAGGCATCTATAAAAGGCATATAAATAGCATCATAGCTAATATTAAACTATTGTATCATTTCTGCATGACTGAGTTTAGTGGAAGGATGATCACTCACCATTTCTATTTAACTTTGTTCCACAGGTCATATTGTATAAGAGAAGGAAAAAGAAAAGATATTGAAGAAGGAAGTACAGTTGTTACTCAAAGGTCCACCACATGAGTAATTTGTCAGATTCCAATTCTGGCAAAGACATGACAAGAAAATAAAGTACTCATGAACATAAATGCAAAAATCTGTACTTATAAAATGATAGTATATAAATGAAGTTGTCATGGTCACATGATTAAAGTCAATACATGACATTCTATTCCTATATATTAGTAGTGAACAATAGGAAAATGCAATTGAACCAGCAATGCAATTTACAATGTCAAATCTTAAAGTTAATCTAATAAAAAGGCCTCTATGCTTAAAACTATAAAACATGGCTGCCATAAATAAAATATAGACATGATTCTCCTTGTTCATGGGTATACTATATTCATGGATAAAAGACTCATTGGAGTTAAGATTTGTAGTCTCCTCAAATTGACCTATAAACTCAACCAAATCCTATTCAAAGTCCTAACAGGCTTTTTTATAGGGGTGGGTATGAATTGACAAGAGGATTCTAAAATACAGATGACTGTGCAAAGAATTCAGAAACAGATTGAAAAAGGAAAGCAAGTCGGAATACACGTACTACATGATGTTAAGAGTCTCTATGATCAGACAGGAGTTTTGGTGAAAGAATGAGGAGATAGATTTATGTGCCAAGTCCCACGTGTACAATTTATTTTCAACACGTTGCCAAGATCATTCAAGGGTGAAGGAGAGTTTCTTTAAAAAATGGTGGTGGAACAGCTGGATATTAGTATGAAAGATAAGGGCCTTAGTACGGTGGTTCTTGAACTTAGTGTGCAACAGAATCCCCAGGAGGGGGCCAATCAAATTCCAGATTTCTGGATCCTCTTCATGGAGCTTCTGAGTCAGTGAGTCTTGGGAGGGGCATGAGAATTTGCATTTTAAAAGTCCCCAGATAGGAGGCTATCTTCTTGTCCTTAGGCAAAAATCTCTTCAGAAAATACTGACTCGTGAACTGGGGATTTGTTCAGTGGTCGAGTGCTTGCCTAGTATGCATGGGGCCCTGAGTTCAATTCCCAGCACAGCAAAAAAAAAAAAAAAACCCTTAAAATTAAAAATTTGCCAAAGTTAAAATTTTATGTCCATCAAAACTATTATTAAGAAAACATGGGCTGGGGCTGTAGCTCAGTGGCAAAGCGCTTGCCTAGCATGTGTGAGGCGCTGGGTTCGATCCTCAGCACCACATAAAAATTAACACATAAAATAAAGGCATTCTGTCTATCCACAACTACAAAAAAATAAGAAAAAAAAAAGAAGACATAAAAGTAAGACACCAACTTGGGGAAGAATTGGCAGTGCATCTATCTCTCTGATGAAGTACTCGTGTCTGTGATATAAGAAGAATTTCTAGATACATCCACAACCAAAATATGAGAACACAATCTTAAAAATGGGCAAAAGACCTGAACAGACATGAATATTCAACAAGCATGTGAAACACCAGTAACTCATGGGCCAATGTAAATTGAAAGCTTGGTAACTCGTGACTTCACAACAGAATAGCCAAAAAACTCAACATCAAATGTTGACAGACCATGAAAATGAAAGATCTTGGATAGATTCTAAGATGCAGATTTAGAAACACCCAGTTATCAGCAGAGTCTCGGGGACGGGACCTCGACACGGGAGAGCAGCTACTCCTCAACGGGGTGACTGTGGAAAGTGCTGGATTTCAGTTGTGAACAGGGACTGGAAAAACAGACTTTGAACAGGGAGGGAGGCCTCAATGCTGAGCGCCTGGGTGGCACTCTGGTGGCACTCAGAGGACCAGGATAAGGTGAAGACACCCCAAACCCAACCAGGAAAGGCCTCAGCACCAGGCACGAGTGCATCCATACACCCGTGGTCCCCAGAGCTGCCCCGGGAGTGGTCTTAGTCAGCTTTTGGCTGCTGTGACCAGAAGACCCAACAAGAACGATTTCAGAAGAGGAGAAGTTTATCTTGGCGCCTGGTTTCAGAGGTCTCTGTCCGTAGATGGCAACTTGTTTGCTCTGTGCCCAGGAAGACGCAGCGCATCATGGCGGAAGGGTGTGGAGGGGGAAGGCAGCTCGGGACACGGCTGTCAGGAAGCAGGGAGAGAGCTCCACTCACCAGGGACAACACAGAAGCCCAAAGCCACAGTCCTGGGACCCACCTCGTCCAGCCACAGCCCACCTGCTTATGGTCACCACCGTTAGTCCCCTGAGTGGGTCAATCCACTGATCAGGTCACGACTCTCGTTCTCTAGTCACTTCGTCTCTGAGTGTTCTTGTATCACCTCACACATGAGCTCTGGGGACACCCCTTATCTAACTCAGAACAGGAGCCTACCCTTTCCGGTGTCTGGGAACCAGCAGCAGAAGTCCGACCCTGACCCAGCAGGCACTGGCCTTGAGGATGGGAGAAATGGGAGAAATCTGAGACCAAGCTGCTCAGAGCTCCCGGTGGGGGAGGCCAAGCTATGAACAAGAGTCGCTTTGCCATTACGCTGAGTCAGCTTTTTCACTGCTGTGACAAGTGGACCGGGCCAGGACAACGATAGAGAAGAAAGGTTCATTGAGGGCTCCCGGTTTCAGAGGCCGGCTCCATTCCTCAGGGCCTGAGACGAGGCTGAACCTCACGGTGAAATGTGCGGCAGGAGGAGGCGGCTCACATCATGGTGATCAGGAAGAGAGAGAGACGAGACTCCACTGGCCAGAGACAAATCTACACCCCACAGCCACGCCCCAGTGCCCAGCTCCTCCAGCCACGCCCCAGCGCCCTCAGTCACGGCTCAGCTGACCCTCAGGTGGCTGATTCACTGACTGGGTCAGGGCTCACAGCCCAGGCACTTCTCCTCGGAACCTTCCTGCTGGCTCACACACGAGCTTTGGGGGACACCATGACAAATCAGGAGCGTCCACCTGGAACCCAGCCAGGGGAGGGAGAGTGCCTGGGTGGGGCCACATTCGGAGCCGAGGGGTGGTGTGTCGTGGGTCGGCCACCGCCCCGCCCCGCCTGAGGGCCGAGATGGGCTCCGGTGCACCTCCTCTCTCTTCTTCTGCCCTTTCTCCTTTATTTATTTTCTTCTCCTTGTAACATTGAACATTTAATTTTATTTTCTTCTTCCATCTCTTTCTTTCCTCTACAATTAAAACATCTCTTTTTTTGATATTTATTTTTTTAGGTGTAAGTGGACCCAATATTTTTATTTTAATGTGGTGCTGAGAATCGAACCCAGGGCCTCACATGTGCTAGGCAAGCGCTCTACCACGGAGCCACAGCCCCAGCCCAATTAAAAAATCTTTAAGTTCATCTTTTCTTTCTCTTTTTTCTTCCACTTTCTTGTTTTCCCACTTTTAAATTTTTCCTTTTTTTTTGTATTATTTTCTTCTTTTTAAAAAAATTGTGTGTGTGTGTGTGATCTGTGTTACTGGGGATTGAATCAAGGCTTCATGGATGCTAGGCAAGTATTCTACTGAGTTACTTTTCCAACTCATTTTACTTATATTTTGAGGCAGAGTCTCACTATGTTGTCCAGGCTGGCCTTGAACTTGTGATCCTCCTGCCTCAGCCTCCCAAGTCACTGTGGTCACAGGCGTGTGCCACCCCTGCGCCCAGGCTACTTAAAGTTTTTTTTCTTTATTAATCAGCAACTTTTCAGCTCATTCTGTATTATTTTGCCCTTTCCTATCGTCACTGACGCTGCGGTGGTGGCTGTTTTTGTTACGACTACATTTCCACACCTGGTTTGTTTGGACCCAGCAGTCGTTCCTCTCGTTCATGTTCTTCTTTCTCAGTAGGCTGCGGATTGAGCCCAGTGTCTCACGCATGCTGGGCAGGCGTTTTGTACTGACCTACACCCCCAGCCCAGTTGTAAGAAACTGTCTCAATCCAGCCGTGACTCAGTCCTGCTCAAACCTGAGTGAATGATTTGTCTTCAACAGAAGGCGAGATAAAAGTCTCCTGCTGATGACTCAGCCCCAAGTAAGCAGGGCTAGGGAAGCCCGGAGTCCTCATCTTGCTATTCACCCCCGTAGCTACAGCGAAGAGACAAGGCAGCTGCTTCAGACACCACACCGAGAGGGACCGGAGCAGAGGTGGCTCCCACACCCTTTCCGACCGCACGAGTCTGGAGGAGTGACCATAGAGAGTGACCTGATATACACAGCTGTCTGCCTGCACCTGCCTGAACTTTCACAGGGTTCCCACCTTGTGAGACACACAGGGTCACTTAGGTTCCCACACAGCATGTGCTGTGTCAGACTCACTGATTACACCCCCAAACCATGGGGAAACGCACTGGTCTCCATTTGGAACTGAGCTCAGCACTGTGCACAACCTGGCTTTCCCGGACGCATGCGCATTAGGAAGCCCTCACACAGAAGATTAAGCAGATGCATAAATCTCAACATTGAGACACAAAGACTCTGAAAAAACAAGACAACACGGCTTCTTGAAAAGCTAACGGCTCTAGAAGATCCCCGGCTGACTCCAAAGATACACGAAGTGCATGAACGTAAGATAAAGGGTTCAAAAGACTAATTTAAAAAATGACCGATGAATTTAAAGAGAACGCAAATAAACAACTGAATGAATTCAGGAAGGCAATTCAGGACATAAAAACCAATTTAATAAAAAGTAGAGATTCTGAAAAAGAACAAGACAGAAATATTGGAAATGAGAAGCTCAATAAGTCAAATGAAGAATTCAGCTAAAAGCCCCACCGCAGACTAGATCCAGCACCGGGGCTGGAAGAGACAGTTTGAATGAAAGAAGCCAGACTCAGAAAGACAAGTGTCACAGGTCTCTGTCATAGTGGACCTGGGGCTAGGGGGATGACACCAAAATGTCAGGGACCAGGCACACTAGTGCACACCTGTGACACCTGAGGCCAAGGCAGGGGACTCCTAGTTCAAAGTCAGCCTCAGCAGTTTAGCGAGGCCCTAAGCAAATCAGTGAGACTTGTTCTAAAATAAAGAACAGAAAGGGCTGGGATGTGGCTCAGCGGTTAGGACCCTGGGTGCAAACTCCGTACCAAAAAGGAAAGAGGAAAGTCTGGTGCTGACTCCCTGGCGCCACGGGGTCCACGAGGCCCCGCCACCTGTCCGCAGCCCGGCCTCACCTGGCCCACCTGCTCCTGGAGCTGGGCCCTCTCACGCCCGAGCAGGGTCACCTGCCCCTCCAGCTGCTCCTGCCGCTGCTCCAGGCGCCCGCAGGCCTCCTGCAGGCCGCTGCGCTCTGCCCGGGTGCAGGCCAGCTGCTGCCCCAGCTGCCCCAGCTGCTCCTGGGCAGCCTCCTGCCGCTGCTCCAGGGCCTTCCGCTGCTCCCGCAGCTGGTCGCGCTCCTGCTCCAGCTGAGGGCAAGAAGGAGGCGTCTGCAGCGGCCCCACCCCACACTCCCTGGCCCCACGAGGCGGGGACTCTGGCCAGGCCTGCCCTGGGCACTGCCCTTCCTCGCTCAGGCCCCTGTCCACCCCCGACATCCGCTCTCAGGGAGGGCCGCGGTCCGGAAGGAAGAGGATCTGGGGGTGAATGAGCCGAGGCCCTGGAGCTGGGCCCTGCTCACCTGGAGCACCACGTGGCTCAGGGAGCCCTTGTCCCGGGCCAGCCCCTCCATCAGGGCCGCCATCGCGGCCAGGGAGTCCCGCTGCTCCACCCCCTCCGACTTCAGCCGCGTCACAAGCAGTTCCAGGTCAGCGTGGCTGGACTCAGCCTGGGGGCAGTGGCCATGCAGAGGGATTTCAGGGAGGAACTGGAAGATCCCCGGCAGAACCCCGGTGCTGGGAGGGAATGAGTCCCACCTGCGGAGCTGTGGGGCTGGGCCTGGGTGGGACGTGGAGGAGGGCCCTCGTGGGGGTCTCTGGCAGAGAGTGGCCCCCACCAAGGCTCCAGCCAGAGGGGTGACCAGGCTCAGGGAGAAGCCTGGGAAGCAGGCGTCCCCGGTGGTGGGGCGGCTGGGGCTGGTGACTTGGAGCCAGCGTGGGCGGGGGACCCAGGTGGGCACGGAGAGGGTAGGGGACCCAGGTGGGCACGGAGAGGGTAGGGGTGAGGCCTGGGAGAACCTGGCACTGAGGGGCAGGGCACGTACCCGGGCCAGGGCACCGCGCAGGCCCTCCCTTTCGCTCTCCACGAGGTCCCGCTGCAGCTGCGCGGCACTCAGGGCCTCCCGGGCCTCGGCCAGCTCCCTCCTGAGCCCAGAGACCTTCTCCTCCAGCTGCTGCAGGCGCCTCTGTCTGAGGTCAGGGGGCAAGGCGTGAGGTGGCCTCAGGGTCAGTGGGGATGCCCAGGAGACCACAGGCAGGGCTACCGCTAGCAGCCCCTCCAAGCACAGAGTCCTGTGAGGAGCATGGGGTTTTGGGGCCTCCCCAGGGTGGCCTCAGGCACATGCCGGGGGAGGTGGGCACACACGGGGAGGACACCCACTTCTGCTGGCCCACAGGGGCCGACTACGGGCTGAGGCCGGGGTCTGGGCTGGGCTGGGCAGGGAAGAGCCCTCTGCCCCTCACCTCCCTGCGGTGCAACAGGTAAGGCAACAGGCCCCCAGTGGATGGACTCTGAGGCCAGAGAGGGACGAGATGGCCCAGGCTACACAGCTGGGCACAGAGCCGGTCCTCTCTGCCCACCTGGCCTCCAGCTCCCGCGTGCTCTGCCTGTCCTGCTCCGCCCTCGCCCTCAGCTCCTCCACCACCGTCTCCAAGGCCACCTTTTCCCTGGGTACACGGGAAGAGGTTAGGGTGGCCCCAGGACCCACCTGGACACATTCAGTGTGTGCCCAGGAGGGTGGTCAGCGGGACATGGTGGACCTGGGTCCATGGAGGTTGCAGCAGGTGGAAGGGGCTCCTGGAGGCACAGGCAGGGTCAGGGCTAGGGTCAGGGTCAGGGTCAGGGCTAGGGTCAGGGTCAGGGTCGGGCTTAGGGCAGAAAGGAGGCCAAGGCACAGGGGCCTGAGTCTGTGTTGTGCACATGCTCAGACCCCTGCTGGCAGGGACACCTCCCTGGCTAGCACACCCCGACTGCGGCTCTTCCCCAGGACCAAGGTCTCACCCCCTGTGCCCTGCTGCACCCAGCGTCGAGTCCGTCTGCCCTGTGCTCCCCATCAGCTGCTCCTCCTCCACTCTGGCCCTCAGCATCCTCAAATGACCCTTGGAACCGAGCCCTCCTCCCTGCCAAGGGGCAGTCAGGCCTGTCCACCTGACCCCAGCAGATGTCCCTGCCCTCTGTTCCTGAGCACTGTGGGTGACCCTTCCTCTGGGCCACGCCCCGCTGGCCGGCTCGCTCTCCTGAGCCACAGCTCTCTCACCCTGCACCCAGCCAGCTCCCTGCTGGGAAGGACCCTCTGCCCCTGGCCTCATGCCCCTGCTTCACCTGGATCCCCACACCCTGGTGGGGCTGTGCCCTCTGCTTGCCCTCTGTCACCTCCCCCTGTGCCTTGCAAAGTGGCACTGGGACTGCTGCAGTGTCCAGCCCTCCCTCAGGCCACCCAGTGGAGCTGCTGTGAAGGGTGCAGGTCCAGCCCCCTCCGCAGGGACGAGAGGGCATGGGAATGCATCTGTCTGCTCCTGGGTGGTCACCTCCTGCAGGAAGCCTTCCTGACCTGCAGCCAGCTCACCGCAGGCCCTCACCATCACAGCCCAGGCGGAGGCGTGTGGAAGCCGGGTGTGCGTGAGGGGAGGCCGGAGCTGGGGTTCCGTGGATGGCTACCAAGGGCCTGAGGTCCTGGGGGCACAGGGAAGGGTCTCCCAGAGGGAGTCCTGCGGCAGGCAGGCGGGAGACAGAGCGGCGCTGGGCCTGCTGGGCTGGGGCTGTGGTGCCTGGAGGGCTCAGCCTGTGGACAGAGGGCAGTCGGCACCGGGAGGAGGCCCAGTGAGGGAAGGGATCCCCTGTGTACAGTAGGACGGGGACACAGGGCAGGGGTGACTGGCCCTCCTGCGTGCATTGTGGGCTCTCAGAGCCAGCCCTGCTGCCCCGGCCAGGCCGCTTCCTGCCACCTTCCCAAGAGCTCCGCAGTCCTCTGGCAGCGCCTGGCCTCACGCCTCTGGGCCTCCAGCCTGGCCAGGAGGGCCTCGTGTTCCTGAGTCCTGCTCTGCAGGAGCCTCTGCGAGGCCCGAAGCTCCTGCTGGCACGTGGACAGCTGCTCCTGGAGTCCGGCCGTGGCCTCCCGGGAGGACTGTAGCTGCAGACGCAGCTCCTGCCGGGCAGGCACCCTGTGAGCCAAGAGGCCCCGGGCTGCGACTCCCCCAGAAGGAACCTAGAACCAGCGCCCTCCCTGGCTCTGTGGCGCCCGGGCCCACCAGGGCAGTGGAGGGGTGGGCCTGAGCTGACCTCCCCACGCTGAGGGAGACACGGCGCAGCTTTGCCCCCACTGCCCCGGGGACCACAGCCGCCCACCTGCTCCCGATGCCTCCGTCTCTCAATGGCTGTCTGCACGGCCCGCAGTGCTGGGTCCAGGTGGGCTGGGGAGTGGGCCCGTGGGGAGGACACAGCCTGGCGGGGGGACGTGGCACGTGGGGGGCTCCTCAGCTGGCTCCGCGCCTCCTGGCCATCAGTGCTGCTGCCCCATGCCAGCTCCAGGCTCCCGGAGTCCCCCAGAGCCACCTTGAGGGTGCAGAGGGAAAGGGGCGGGGAGATGCCGGCTGTGAGGAAGTGGGACCTCCCCGCAGTCCCTTGGAGCAGGGGCCCTACGGGTCGTCCTGGCTGTACCACCAGGGCTCAGGATGGGCGCACCTCTGTGATGCTGGCCAGCACCCGCTGCAGGGATCCCACCTCGTCCCTCAGGGTGTCCATGGCCAGCCGGCCCCCGTCCCTGTCGCGCTGGGACTCCTGCAGGGAGAGACCCTTAGCCAGGCAGACAGCTGGCCTCCAGCCCAGCTCCCATTTCCAGCCCACGAACCGGTCTCTGGCCATCGGTCCTGCGGGAGTCCACGGTCCTTTCCCGTGACCCATTCCGCTGTGTGAGCTTGTCCACCAGCAGCGTCTGCTCCGAGAGTCTGGGGAGGAGCTGGGGGTAAGTGAGGGGCCTGAGGATGTCCTGGTTTTGTCCAGATTCCTGCTGCAGTGGAGCCTCCCTGCGGGGCCAGGGCCACCCTCTGCTGATCTCAGGCCTCTCTTGCTACAGAGCCTTCAAGGCTCCCATGGTCTCAGGAGTGAAGCACAGACCCTGAGCCAGCCTTCAAGGCCACACCCTGGCAAGCGGAGGACCTGTGGGTGTCCTTCCTGGCTCACCTGGCCTGCAGCTCCGCCTTCTCCGCATCCCAGCGGCCCTGCAGCTGCAGCGTCTCCCTGACCTGGTCCCGCAGCCGCTGCTCCAGGGTGGTTGGGCTGCTGGCTGCCAGTCGCAGGTTGGAGTCGAGGCTGCGGCAGGCTGCGTGCAGACGCCGGGCTGTCCAGGCGGCCTTGGCCTGCATGTCCGCCAGAGCCCTGGAGAAAAGGCGATGCTGTAGAGGAGCCTCGGGACCTGGGCAGGCGCTGGGCCAGGAGGTGTGCAGCCAGGTCACATGGCCACTGGCCGTCCTGGGGAAGCCCCACAACGGCAGGACAGCAAGCTCATAGCCAGGGCAGGGCCAGGAGAAGTACCTCAAGGGCCATCAGGGGCCTGGGACAGGCTCTCGTGAGGCACCAGCAAGAACCGGCCAGACCCAGAGCTCTGCAGTGGGAGTCCTCCTGCAGCCAGGCCACCTGCTCCTCCCCCTCCCCCTGATTCATCCTCCCCCACTTCCCCCTCCGCCTGTCCAGCCAGGGCCCTGACAGGGCTGGTGCCACTGTCTCCCTGCTCAGGAGTGGCCTGGGCACAGATGCACTTACCTCTCCGTGGCCACCCGCACCTGGGCCACGTGTCCCTTGAGCTCTGAGGCCTGTCTCCACAGGAGGAGGAGATCCCCTGGCTGCCCAGGGCCCATCCGCTGGGTCTGCAAGCAAGAGGCCCATGTCCACTGCAGATGGGGGCCATCGGCCCCTGCTCACTATTCTCTAGGTGTCCTGCTAAGCTGGTTCTGGGGAGGCTGCAAGTGGGACTTGTATCACCTACCAGGTCCCAAGGTCCCCGTGCGCTGCAGGCAAATAAGTTCTGAGCTCCCCACCCACCCTGGGGACAACGCTAGGTCCTGTGGAAGAGGAAGACTCCCATGTCCCCCCAGGGCATCCCAGGAAGGGGTCCGGGGGCGGGGGAGCAGGTCCCACATGCTGCACTCAGACCTGCGCAGCCCTGAGGGAGGAGGCTGTCCCTCTCCAGTCATCCCAGGTTGCTGCTCTTACCCGAGGGACTCTGTGGATGTCAGGGGTAGACCAGCGCCCCAGAGTGCAGGGGACAGGGTGGGCAGCTGGGGCTGGGCAGGACGAGTTGGGGAGGACATGGGAAGCAGGCCACTGCAGGGCTGTGTGCGCCCAGAGGTCCAGCCTCGCGGAGTGCAGTCCCACACCACCTCTGCATCCTGCACACTGCTGCCTCTGGCAAGATGGCCGCTGGAACCCACAGGGTCCTCAGGCCCAGGGCTTTCCTGGTCTCATGGCCTGTCCTGCTGGTTCGGCCCCACCCAGCACTCCTCAGCCAGCTCTCAGGAGGCCACGCCACCCCTGGCTGGACCCTGCCTCTGAGCCCCTCCCCTGGTGAGCCCAGGACCACCTTCACACACCCTCAGTCAGTGTGCCGGGCCACGGGGGGGGAGCTCATCGGGGCCAGGCACATCCCGCCTCTGGAGTGACCATCCAGGGCGGGAAGAGACGTCTTCTATGGAGCCCAAGTCTGCAGACCCAGCCCCTCTCCCTGGGCAGGCTGGCCGGCCACAGTGGGAGCTATTGAAGGTTCTGTAGCAGCAGAGGCGTGAGATCAGGCAGACCTGAGTTGACCGCTTCTCCTGGGTCCACATCACGATGCTCTGTCTCCTTCTGTTTGGGGTGATTTTCTATTTTCTAACTAATTTTCTAGCTGCTCATTTCCCATGGAACTTTGTGGTCCCTCTTGGAGAACCAGGGTGAAGCCTCCAGCGGACCTAGTGGAGTCTGGAGCCAATGAGGCAATTTCTTGCCAAACAGAGAAACTTGTTCCTTGACCCAAGGGCCCGAGGCTGAGCCAGACCCAGGCACATCCTGCCTAGTGTCCCCAGTGCAGCAGGGTGGGAGGGCTAGAGGGTGAGCTGCAGCCTCAAGCCACGCACGCACGCCACGCTCCCAGGCCTCACGCACACTCACACCCACCCACATACACCACACACACACACTCACACCCACCCACGTACACCACACACACACTCACACACACCCACGTACACCACACACACACTCGCACACACATCCACACACGCATTCACACCCACCCACTCACACCCACCCACGTACACCACACACACACTCTCACACACCCACGTACACCACACACCCACTCACACCCACCCACGTACA